GAAGGGAGCACAGAACGGGATAGTGGCTAGTGGTGGATGATGGGATGGTGGTTAGGTTAGTGCGTACTGCGTAGAACGTAGCTGAACATGCATTTTTTTCATCGCAAACAACATGCAGCATAATGTGCGGGATTATGCCAGAACTTTACAAAAAGGAAATAATATTTCCGCCGAGGGAGTGGATGAGTGCCGTGACAAAGCATGACGATGCTGCCAAAATCGGGATGCTTTTTGCCCCCATTTTTTTACCCCTGACATGCAGCGCTTGATCCGAACTTAGAGGTCCCCGACTGACCTTAGACCTTAAAATCGCACCCGGCCGGTGCGCCACCTTTTCTTCAGGGGCGCTCTTCTTGGTTGTAGGGTTCTTACCAATAACTAAAGAAAATCGAATGTATTATAAAAAAAGGCATACCTCAAACACAGTTTTATTCACATCCCCTCGTGTGCATACTTGTTTTGAACTATACCTTCTCGCATCATAATATATCACTTCAGTGCTTAATCCTCAACGGAATTTTGAGTTTTCTGCATATACGCCGGCCGAGGGGGGGGGGCGATTACGACCCCTCTCCGTCTTTTTGCCCCTAATTGAGCTAGCGTCTTGCGGATGAAACTGAGCGCGTGCGTCGTATAAGATGCAGCAACTGGTACCCGAGTTGAATGTCTCAGGTCAACCGATAAACTCTGAGGGTAGTATAAGTGCTGGCCAGGTCGCGGGATCGGTTTTTGGTAAACAACTTTACCATAAGTGGTTACAGAGCCAAGACAATGGCACCATCGAGTTTTACATGCTCAAGCGCGTCGAATAATATACGCTTTGTTTTTGTTGAGGTCAATTTAAGGTGTTCACCTCAGGTCATGTCAGGGCAGAGCCACTCAGAACACGAGGCTGGCTCAAGGAGGTCATATCGCTTCTTCGATTCGATAGGTCCTCACAAGTCCATTGGTGGCTTCACGACTCGCTGGCTCAATTTGATCGAGACTTTTTGGTGAAAACTCCTGTGACCTTAGTGACGTCATAAATGAAGTCGCCTAACTTTAAAAATGGAAAAGTGAATGCTGGGGCTTGCTAAGATTGTATAAAATCGCGAATTAATGCGGTTGATACAGCTTTAGATGGCTCCCGGCGCCAAAATAACAGCTTTCATATTTCCCAATTGATTAATTATCGTGAGGCTGCGTGACCGACCTGACTTCAGGTGACTCTTAAGAAAAAAAACGAGATAGCTACATACAAGTTGTGAGGGAGATCTGGGAGATAGGACTAGATCATATAAGCTTCATTTCCCGTTGAAAAGTCCCCTGGCACGAAGGGTGCTGCGACGTCGCGACATTTTGGGACCTTACAGAGGCTCACTTTTGACGTCATTGGTCAGCGGCCTGACCTTAACCTTCGCACTTGTAGGAGGGTGTCGAACAGACCTCCTACCCTCAGTTTTTCGCAAATAACTCGCGCAAAAAGCGGCTGATTGCGACGAAACTTTCAGTACCCTCGAGTTAATCAATATTACGCAGGTACCCTATAATTTGTATGACCCTGACTCAAAAGACCTTTGACTTGTGACCTGTTTTCCGAGACCATGTTTGGCCGGAATCGCGTTTTGGCGTATTTCGAGTAGAGCGCGTTTTATTGTCTTTTTGTGCTTTAGCCTTTAAGCGATCAAACATGTGAAAGGATGTTGATCCCATGGGTTCTAGTGGGTATCAAGGTCACGTGAAGGTCAGTCAGGTCACTGACCTTTGATGACCTTTGTTCACTCTTTCGAGTCGTGCATGTTTCTGGGGTAGATTTTGGAGTTGATTTCGTATTTAGAAACCGTTTGAATATTTAAGAAGTAGTTTTGGTTCCCTCGTAACATGTGACCTGACCTGACCTGACCTGGCCTAAATGCACGAAAACATCATCTGTGATCAAAACTAACTTGAAATTCGTGATCAGCACCCCGCAAAACCCTATAACAGCTTCACTTTACGAAGCTCTAACAGGTTCCGATTCCCCTACTTTTGAGTTATTGACCTGTCAACTTTGACAACTTTGTCAACTTAGACTTTTGACCTGTCAACCAATGACCTAGGACCTTAACCCGCGCACCGACGGGGGTCTGCGCCAACTTAGTACCGACGGGGGGGGGGGGGGGGCGGATGACCGCCCCCCCCCCTGAGATCTCGAGAACGAAGCAAGATAGCGACAAGCGGTAAACGGCATCGGATACGCACGGACAAGGTCTACAATTTTTACAAAGGTCATTTTCAGGTCAGGTCAAAGATGACGTCACAGGGGTCGAAAAAGTCAAAATGGCGGCGCTAGATATGGAGAGGGTTTTTCTCGAATAACTTTCGAAGTAGTCAAGATAGGAACAAACTAAGGGCATCATCGTGATCCTCTTGTCAATCCGCATCGAATGATATATATGTTGACCTCGAAAGGTCAAGGTCAAAGGTTGACCTCAGGTCACGTGACCTCGAGGTCATCATGTATATCATTCGATGCGTCTTGACGAGCTGAACACAATGAGACCATCCGCGCGGCTGTATCTTGTTCCTGTAAGGAGTTATTGGCAAAAAACCTTTGGTGACCTTTGATGACGTCACATGACCTTACAGCTGCCCAACAGCAAAACAGACCTCAAGGTAGTGAAGGTTGATCGTATGTAAAGTCATGTATGGTATATGGGGCCATTCCGACCCGTTTTAGTGGTAAAAACAGGGAGTTGATTTTTCCCCCATTGACTTATAATGGGGAGGTCGCGAAATTGACCTGACCTTAGGTCACCGACATCAAAATTCCGAGATATACAAATTGTAGCTACTAATGACCTTATAACATCCTGCGACTTTCAAAGGCCTCCGACATCTACTGTAGCTCTGGCACGGTGACAAAGTTGCAAAAAAGTGACTTGAGGTTGGGTCATTCAAAGTGACCTGGTGACCTGACCTTAAAAGTTAGGAGGTTCAAACTTGCACACCATGTGTAAAATTGATGAGAGAATAGTCATTCCAAATTTCGCGGCGCGTATTCAAACTTGCACACCATGTGTAAAATTGATGAGAGAATAGTCATACCAAATTTCGCGGCGCTACGCGCGGTTTTCCCGCTATCCGCGAAAAACCTCAGGGGGGGGCGGATATCCGCCCCCCCCGTCGGTGCGCGGGTTAAAATTGGGTATCATCGGCCTCCTCTCGTCACGGGCAACACGCTCTTTTTCCGCGAAGCTCTAGCTCGATCAGGGGTTGAACGGCAAAGGGGTCCAACGGACCCTCCTCCCCCCTTTACGATAGACGCTGGCAAAACACCAATATGGGCGAGGGTGAAAATACAGCTGCTGTCATAAAAATTCAGCTTGAATCAAAGGTCAGGCTTGCCAAATTTCAGCTCTCGCAGCTATCAACAGAAATAAATAGGTATGTGGAGGCGGCACCCGCCTCCCCGCACCCGCCTCCCCCCTCTCGGCCACTGCCTGCGAGGTTTTAAGCGTATCATAGACGTTACAAAGCATCATATGAAGATGACACACCCCAGCAGCCATATATACTGAACAAAAATTTATTACGCACGCTAGTCTATCGGCACCATAGCACATGGTCGAGACTGTCGTCAGCCACGGACGCGCACTCGACCAACCCTCTGAGCCCGTTGACTGCGGGTGACCTTGACATGTCAAGCCTGATCGGCCGCCGGCCGCTGTCGTGCGGTCGTTACACGCGGAGGGGAGGGAGACACAAAGCTCTACGTTATAGCCGACCTCTGACCTTTCCCTGCGCCCTGGTCACTGACCCCGCTCCATGTCGCTGGGCGGTGGCATGGCGGTGGAAACCGGTTCTAGCCTCTACACATGCCACCATTCTAACCCTCCCCTCCCCACGCTACTACGCGGCGTGGAGTACGCTCGTGCGTAACTGGGCGGAGCAAGGGGCCACGCGATACAGGGGCGGAACTGGTTGCCCTCCCGCCCGCCGAGCGACCAACGACTAATACCCTGGAGAACCGTACCTATGGCCTCAACGGCTACCGATTTTTGTGTGGATAAGTGGCCTACGAGTTTCGCCACCTATGCCTCGGACTGGACTGCATAAACTGGTCATGACGTTTATACTTCTCTGTAAAGGGGCGGTCTGTTTTTAGTTTTGACGAAATGTTATGAGGAATGTCGAAATTAGCATAGGGATGTTTTGGTGAACGACGAAGGGATATAAACGAATGACGAAGCATATATCCAAATCGTTAAAGGTTTTGCCGGGATTCAATCAGTTATGGCGAAAAGCGAATGTTATACCAACAGACGAACTGTGGAATGGGATCAGCATTCCGTTTTGCCCATATGCTGAAGGTTTTGCCGGAATGCCTCTCACTGGCGCCACCTATGTGCTGATCGGACGAATGGGTTTTGCTGATTGGCCATCGAACAACGTGAAAAGGTGTACTATGACGTATGAACTCGTATCTTTCGAGGCCGAAGTTTCCCTTCCGCAATATGCATAGCATACATATATGCAATCGAAACTGTTGCCTGCTTCTGTCGGACAAGATTTGGCATACAGCGATGCAATTTCACAGTTACGTGGCAAATGTGCACACGCATAAATCGGGTTAATACTTATGCATTTGCACTTGACATAAGACCAGATATGACCTAAAAAGCAAAACCAACCACTGTTTTCCTGGATAACCGTACGGGGACCCGCAGTTGCTACTGTACACGAACCCCAAGACTAACCGTCTGTCCTGTCCAGTAACAACCGATAACATTGATATCGACTGCTGGTCCCTGTACAAGAGCAGCTGAGGTTTTCTGTGCGTGCCCTCTGGCAGCTTATCGTTGTTCCCTGTGAGGGTGCTGGGACAATGTGCTCAGGGTCGCTGTACGTACAGTAGCAACTGCGGGTCCCCGTACCTATATGAGGTAGGCGGCGCGTGTGCTGTGCCCCGTGCGGTCTGTTTGTGTGGTGTACTGACTTCGTTCGCTGCAGTGTACTGACTGTGCGGCGTGGTGCGGCAGGAGCGGCTGACGACGCTGTCCAGCCAGCTGGCGTTCCTGTCGCAGTTCTGGTCGGGGGGCCGGCGGAGCGTGACGGTACAGACGGCCGCGCTGTCGGTGAGCGCCGCACTGCTGACGGCGGCGCCGGCCCACCGCCTGCCGCCGCTGCTGGCCGCCGACCAGCCGCTGGTGGCCGCTCTGCTGGCGGCTCTGCTGTCGCCCCGCTCTCAGGTGCGGCCGCGCCCGTCTGACCTCTCCTCGGACTTGTGACCGTCGCTCACACCGCCCCTGTGGCCGTCCCTGTGACGGCTGTTGCCTTCACTGTGCCCAATGACCGTCCCTGCTACCTGCGCTCCTCTATGTGATAACTATGTGATAACCGTTCAGATCAATCTTTGCAACTCAACCCACTGGTGACTATTTACAGGGTGGGCCAGAATAAGTGTAACAGTTTCTAACGCACATTCTGTGTATTTACTGTTTCAACTCTAGACATATTTTGTAAAAATACGAAAGCCAACAGCCTGCCAAATGAGTGGGAGAAAGAATTACCTCTCTATCAGCAATGGTTTTCTTACCAGAAGAAAAAGTAAAAATCATCCATTTATGGTATGAAATAAAATCGTGCGTAACTGTTAAACGTCGTTTCCGGCAGGAGTTCGGCTGTCACTCATCACAGGTACCTTCGAACACGGAGATCCATCGATTTGTAAATCATTTTGAGAAGGAATGGAGTGTCCTAAAGCAGGCGAAGGGTAGATCCGGTCGTACACCTAAGGTGACAGGAGATGGGGATAGGATTGAGCAGGTCCGTCAATCCGTTAGTGAGTCACCGAGGACCTCTACCCGGCATCGCTGCCAGGAGCTGGGGATGGCACGGACGGCAGTCTTCTAAGAGTCCTCCGCAAGAACCTTCGGTCCTTCCCATACCGGAGGGACACCGCGGAGAGGGTGGGAGCCAGTTTCCTCGAACACGTGCACATGTGTTTGCATGCAAAGGTGCCCTCTTTGAGCACATGCGCAAATAAAACACGCAAATGTTGCTTTTTTATTGATGACGATAATCTTATTTTGCTAGGATTTTTTTCGAGGTAAATATTACTTTATGATTTGGCAAACGTTTTTCTACTAGCTGTCAAAATTTTATTTTCATATCTTTTGCCAGTTTTGAGAAACCGACGTCAGAAAGTATTACACTTATTCTGGCCCACCCTGTATTTCCATCTCACTGTGCAGTGCGCAATGCGCATGCAGGCAGGCAGACACGGATGGGCAGAAGGGCAAACGCAGTGGCAGGTTCATGCCCTGTGCTTAGGGGTCCATGCAGTGCCACTTGAAGCGGCCGTCAGGCAGATGCAGGCGTGCAGAGACAGACAGGCAATGCACGTGCAGTGAGCAGACACCACGTGCAGTAGATACACACCACGTCCAGTGGATAGGTTCCTAAAAACCTATCCACTGGACGGGGGGGGGGGGGGGGGCACGCAACATACATGCCAAACCCATTTCAAAACATGTTCAAACGTCGATGTGATGTGGCGACTCGTGACACGCGCCTGACAGATACAGAGCAGGTGCACCTACCGAAAGTGCGGCTTATTGCCACTCAAAAACACTTCATGTACAGGGCTGGCTCGGCATGGAACCGGCTGCCCCGAGAGATCCAAGGCATGTCCAGCATATTTGTTTTTAAGCGGGCGATCAGGCCACCACGAAATGTATAGTTTGATGCTGAAGTGGTCTAAGGTGTTGCCTTGGTCCTGTTTTCTCTTTTTCTCCTCTTGAGTGAACTCGAACGCGGGTCGAGGAAAGTGCATGTGCATTGTGCATAGTGGTTCCCTGATCATGTGCCATCCTGAAATAACTATGCCTGCATGGAAGGATGTGCAACAAATAAATAAATAAATAAATAAATAAAAAGCAACAAAAAACCAATGCGGTTTAACAGATATACCTGCACAGCATCATGCGGGGGGGGGGGGGCACGCAACATACATGCCAAACCCATTTCAATCACCTTTGCATAACAAAGTCTCACATCTCATATTTGCGCATTGCCTTTTAGTGACCTATTTACAAACTTACCAACAATAATGGCGGAAAGATTATCACAGTTTATATCTATCGTTCCAACCAAGATTCCTAGACCCAGAGCTAGTGGCGGCGGAATTGGGGGGGGGGCAGCGGGGGCACGGCACCCCCCGCCATCTTTCAGGGTGGGGGGCAAACATATCTTTTTGCCCCCCCCCCCCAAATTTTTATCTACGAAGTACCAGAATATATCCATACTACGTCATGAACATATGCCAGTTTGGCTGAGTACCTTTTTAAGTTGTTAGAGCGAGTAATTTGGATTTATATTATTGTCAATGTCGTCGTGCATGTTTTGATCTTTTATTGGGTATCATTTTGCAGTGCGAGTGTTACTAACCAAAAAGGTTTGCAATAATTGGCTAATTTTAGTGACGTCACTGGTTTAAAGGAAGCAAGTGGTTCAACGTCATGGTTGTGGGGGGGGGGGGGGGGGGCTCGCAATGTATTTGAGACCCTCCAACTGGAGGAATCGAAATCGGAAATCTTCCAACATTATTTCATAGATTCATATACACCTTTTCGAAATGTTAACCAGAAACAACCTTCATTATGGAGCGTTCTAACGCAGAAGACTGTGACAACATGTAAGCACATATCCATTCTCTAAACATCATACATTTCCACCAAACGACCTCCACCACACATAATGTTCAGAAATCAAGCAGCTCTATCTACGAGCTACCGGTAGCCGGAACGGTAGTGCGCGGAACGCGAGTGGCCCGGCACGGACGTCACAGAAGCGCGTCTGAGCGTGCCACAGGCCTTTTCCCCGCGACTCTGCCAGACGCCAGCCGGCATAGGCGCGTGAGCCGGGGAGCAGCATGGGGGCAGCCTGCCCCCACAGCTCTGGGGCCGTGGGGGCGCTGCCCCCACAAAGTTTCATAGGGCCAGGAACCCTCGGGGCAGCTTGTCTTCCTGTTCGGAAACACGCATTTTCGGGTGAACACCACGGCTCAGCTAACTAGTAGGTATATTAATCTATACATCGGCTCATTGCACGTTTCTGCCCAGACTTCCCATCAGGTCGGACCACCCGTCCGCCAGCTCATCTGGGCTATTCCCGCCGGCGAGTCAACCATTTCAGAGCCGGCAGGATGATAGGATGAAGGGGGAGACATTGGTCTGGGCAGGCACCCTAGTGAGTCACCGGGGCTGAGCCCGTACAGAGGACAGGCCACCCAGCCCCAAGGTACTCACTGCACCCGGCTACGGGGTGCTGCTCCCTCGGGAGCAGCGGTGCCGCTCCAAGGGAGCAGCCCGCATGAGATAAAGTTGCCTGTCCAGCCCGGAAGGGGGTTGCGGCGTGGAGGAGAAGGATTTCAGTATTCTGAGGATAGAAGCATGGAACGGGTGGCTGAGCTGCCGGCGGCGCGCCGCCTTAGCCCTTAGATAGGTCCGATGAGGGCCGAGGGCACCAGCCAGTCAACGACCACCGCGCGCAGAGTTGCAGGATTGGCGCCCGGTGCCCGCCGCCAGCCGCCGGGCGGCCGGGCGGCCGTGCGTCGCTCCCCGACACTCCCTATAGTAGCGGCCGTGGGCCTCAAAGAAAAGCTGAATGGAAGATGTGACAGCTCATGTGTGGAAGCTCTAACCCTCGCCGGCCGAGGGGGAGGGGTGCCGCCCCCCCCCTTAGGGGTTTTTCGCAATAGCTCCGAACACGCTGGCGATAGAGAGCTGAAACTTGGCATACCTGGCCTTTGATTCAAGCCGGATCTTTTGACACCAACCGCATTTTTGGGTCAGGTCAGGTCACTGACCTATGACGTCATCAGTGAACCTCTGCACGGTCTTCAGATGTCGCAAATTCGCAACGCCCTCACTGCCAGAAGAGATGTCACAGGGAAATGAAACTTGCAGGCTATAGTATCCATTATGAGTCTCACAACTTGTATATCTCGGATTTCTCCTAAAGGTCATATGAGGTCAGGTCATTTTCGTGACCTCTCCATTATAAGTCAATGGGGAAAAATGAAAACTACTATTCTGGCGCCGGGAACGATCTCAAACTATCTCAAGCACAAATTATCGTGATTTGATGCACTCCTTGCTAGGTTAGATGAGTCACTTTTGCAATGTTGACCTTGCGTGACGTCATTTATGACGTCATCAAGGTCATATTAGTTTGTCGTCAATAACTCTTGATCAAATTGCGCTAGCGAGTCGGGAAAGCCACCAATGGACTCAGGAAGACCTGCCGAATCGAATGATCTGCGACATGACCTCTTTCGACCAACTTCGTGACCTGGGGGTGCTGACCTGACCGTGACCTGAGGTCAACACCCTAAGTTGACATGACCCGAACAAAAAGTATATCATTCGACGCGCCTGAGCAAGGCGAACACGATGCTGCCAATATCGCGGCTCTGCGGTCATTTTTTGCGAAGTTATTCACCAAAAACTGAACCGTACCTCGGGACACTTGACCTGACCTTCGAGGTCACCGGTTGACCTAGGACCTTAAAATCGGGTACCAATCTCTGCGTCTCGTAACGGCGCACACGCTCGTTTTTTCCGCGACGCGCTAGCTCCATCAGGGGCGAAACGGCGCGGGGGGTGGGTCGTACCCGCCCCCCCCCCCCTCGGCCGGCGCGTATGTAGAAAACCAATAGGTCCGAGGGTTAAACGTTTATTCCAGGTTACTAAAAAGGTAGTTCCTTGACTCAGATGAGGAATATCTCACTGTTTTGCAAATGTTTTCGTTTCTATTTTTCGTTGTAAAGGCCAAGGGGTGAAAATAAGTGGCTGAAAATCGGTGAGAAAACTAGATTCGGGGGTACCCTAGGTTCCGGGAAAGATCAGGTGTGCCCCCCCCCCCATCTCAAATTACCTTCCGCCGCCTCTGCCCAGAGCCTCATTAACATCAACCAAGTTTACTGCGCCAAAAAGGTCAACCCTGACTCGACGAAAACCACATCCGGGAACTTCGAACGAGAGCTATAATAAAAGCCTAAATCCTGAGTGGTTCCCTGTACGGTGGTGCCAAGTACCGGAAGGAAAGGAAAGTGATAATAGGATAGATGGTGCAACTGGAATCACCGGAACGGTATGTGCTGTGGCTGCGCTTACATGACCTGTGACCTGTAATTGTACCTATCACCTGTAACCGTAACCGTGACCTGTGACTCGTAACCGTTCCCCTGACCGTCCCTGTGACCTGTGAAATGCCCTGTGACCTATGATCGTCTCTGTGACCTGTGACCGACCATTGCCAGGTGCGTGCCGCTGCCATCCAGTGCCTCACCAAATTGTCTACGGCGAAGGTGGCCAAGGCCAAGTGTGCGCTGCTGCCACTGGTCGATCACGTGACCGCTTCTGGGCCCGAGCTAATCGCCGACGCCGGGTGAGCGCTGCCGGGGCCGGGCTCCACACAGATTCAACACACAGATTCAACTGGGGTCCTGATATTGCAGTCAAAGCCTCCACATTGGTGCTGAATGGGTACTTGCTACCTTTTTTTTTTTTGCTAAAATTGAAGCTAAGCTTATTTTTTTTTTTTCAGACGCCAAAAATGACTTGCTTACAAAAGAGAATATTGTTTGTTTCACCACTTGTGCACATTGATTCGCTGGCTCGGTAAAGAGGAGACCCTATACCAATCCTCTATCTACCTTTACTATTTAAACGGAGTCCGTTTGTTTGTCTGTCCGCGCATCGTGTAGTGGGTTCAATCTGTCACGCCTACAGGGCAGACGGTACAGACGGTTGGCACGTGCTGCGCGCTGGAACTTGCGCTGGAAGAACGCCAATGAAATTTTGATCGGTTCGTAGATCTTCATTGAGAGCCGGGGGTCGACTAACTTTGTGGACTAAATGCATGCCGATCGGCGGCGGGTGCCTCGCATTGGCGGATAGGCAAGTTATTGATTTTAATAAATGGTGGCGAAAAAAATGTGTTGATTGTCGCTAAATGGGTAAAGTTTGTGATAGGAATTTACAAATGCACCGCGTTTGCCGCAAGGCGTCACATTGGTCACAAGGCGTCATTCTTGCCGCGAATCGCACAGTTTTGTCAAATATGATCCGATATGGGTGCAATTTGATGCAAAGATGCATGATCAATCACCGGGTGAAAATGCGCCGCGTTTGCCGCAATGCGCCACATTTGTCACAATGCGCCATTTCTGACAAAATCGATTAAGTGTAATGGAATGGCACGAATAGGAGCAGGATTAGAAGCAGTTTTAAAGTCTGATTTAAAAAAAAATATATTTATTGGATCAAATTATTCTGCGACCTGACATGACCCAGTGGTAGGTAATGGTAGGGGTAGTGGTAGGAGGTAGGGGTAGGGGTAGGAGTAGGGGTAGTGGTAGTGGTAGGAGTAGTGGTAGGGGTGGAGTAATGGTGGGGGTAGGGGTAGTGGTAGGGGTAGGGATAGGGGTAGTGGTAGGGGTAGTGGTAGGGGTAGTGGTGGAGGCAAAAGTAGAAGTGTGGCCCGGGCTGATCCCATGGGACAGGAGGTGACCGATGTGACCTGGCCTCATCCAAAGTGACCGGGCTCCCTCGACCCGTGTTGAGCCCGTATCACTCAAATTTCTTCCAACAAAGCCCTCAGAACAGTTCTTTTTTTAAATTTTCTTCACATTTCCGTCCATATCTATGCTTGTAGACGACACATCGATTTGAATCGAACACCAGGCTATTGCTAGGCTATCGAACACCAGGCTAGGCTATTTTCGACCCCGAATATGGCTTAATCACGTGATGAGAAACATGCTGATACGCGTTTTGTGTGTCGTAACTGCTCAAAAGTATTTTTAATCATTTTTTCAAAAATATCCGTTCTGCCGTATCTTTCAGTGCAAGGTGCCGTCGGTCATCCCCGATGTTACGTCACGCTGGGGATTGCCAGATTTTCCTACTAGATTGCGATGCCCCCTGATTTGTTCTATCGTTCCAATGGCTAGCCGAACCAATGTTGAGGCAGCTTTATGGTTTTTAAAGAACTTGAGAATTATAAAGAGAATTATAATTGCTACTTTGTACCACTGAGGAAGGGCCACGCCCGAATATATATATTGTTTTTTTTTTTTAATTCTAGAAATGAGCAACAGGGTATATAGTATCCTCTTTATAATATTAATAACAATGCTCAATACAACGTTCCAATATCTGAAAACTTGAGAATTGCAATGTTGCCAAGATATTCTGGATTGAACCCAGTTATCACTTCAAATTATTTGATCAAAGCCGTGTTTTGCTCGAAAACTTGGAGAACTATTTAGCCGGGTGCGGCGGCCGACTGTATGCTGTGCCGTGTGTGACAGGGCGCTGCCGCGGTGCCTGGCGGGCGCCGGCCGGCCGGCCATCAACCACCTGGTGCGTCTGGTGGTGGCAGAGAGCGCCTCCGACCACGTGCGCGCCGCGCTGGCCTCGCTGCTGCCGCCTCTGGCCAACCAGGTAAGCGCTCTGCTCGCCACCCGGGGCCGGCAACACTCTACCCAGGGCTGGGTACACTCCACCCGGGGCCGGCAACACTCTACCCAGGGCTGGGTACACTCCACCCGGGGGCCGGCAACACTCTACCCAGGGCTGGGTACACTCCACCCGGGGGCGCCCAGCTGACAGGGCTGTGTTGGGTTTACAGGGTGTCCCAGAATTTTTCTCACTAAAAGTACGATTGCGCTCGATTTTGATGAGATAAGAGCATTATAACTTAACAACAGACATGTACTTGGATCCGGAAAAATGGATCTGAGATCCGATCCCATGGATCCCGATCCGAGATCCACTCAGATCATAGATCCAACCCCTCAATTTTGTCGAGAGATCTACTGGGATCATAGATCTGACCCTTCAGTTTTGTCGCTAGATCCACTCGGATCATAGATCTGGCTCCCCAATTTTGTCGTGAGATCCATTGGGATCATAGCTCATAGGTGCTCAAAATGTTAACAACTTTCTTTCATAAGAAGTTATGAATACCAAAGTATGGTTAGAAACAAACAATCTTATACAAAGGACATATTAGTAAAGGAATCCAGTTACATTATACAGAATACAAAATAAAGGAGGCTCATGACGGTCACAACTTGAGAGAATTGAGTGACATGAAGATTGTTCACGGTTGACATACCTACCAACAGAAAAGTTTGCATTAACAATTAACATAGAGATAAGTCAAAGTAATGACTAATGAACAATACATAACTAGGTACCTACCACATCACAATTCATGTTAGAATCTACATAATGATATTGATAAGACAATCTTGCATTAGACAACCATGAGGCTTTCCAGTTTCCACTTTCCAGCTACCACAATTGATTGATAAACAATAAAAGATGATACTGACACATGTGGCTTGGTTAGGTAAAGGTATTTCAATCTATTGAAATAAATATTTGTTAAAATAAACTGAGGATAAAAACAACACCTTAGAATAAACTGAGATATAAACAAAAGCATAAAAATATTCAACAGCCTGCGGAAGCGATGGGAAGCGAAATATCAATTGTAATGGCCTTGGATATTTACCGTAAAATGATTATTCAGTATCTAAATAGAACTCGTGACGTCATTTCAAATAACAAATGAGCTAGGCGTTCTACCTTCGAGTATAATGAAAATAAATAAAAAATCAAACTGGAAATTCAAAAGTCAGGAGTTTTTTTTAAGAATGTTCATTTGTTCTGCCTCACATAATTTTACGATACGATTGTTTGTGAATATCATCTTTGTAGCGTTGAATTTAATGACGTAAACGTAAGCTGAAACGGTATTACATGGCCCAGAGCGGTGTGCGCCTTGCATCTTTGTTTTCTTCATTTTTCAAAAGAATAACAATAACTTACGTCATTAGTTTAAAGGGCCTATTACGGGGAATCTTTTGGAATCATTCGTACGGTTTTGGTCAAATTAAGATTTTTCATTGGTCAAACGATAATGACGTAATAAAACCATATTACCAAAACGTGAGCTGTGAATTTCGTTTGTCTTTTTTTGGGAGGCTCTCTCATAACAAAAGCACAGCATGGCACCACACGTGGCACGATGCCAAAAGTAGGTAATCTGAAGAAGTTGATGCCATTTTTGAACTTGTAATTTTATTAGGAAAGTATTAGAGGTTGGTTGCTATTCTTACTAAATCGAAATTGTGTTGCACATACTAATAGCTCATACAAACATTCTGGATTGGGATTTCATACCTGGCAGAAGTGGATTGCTGGATTATTTTTAACAAAACTGACCTATTTGGCTTCCAGGTTTGATTCCCTAACATCTGTCCATAGGCAGCAGAACAGGGGGGGGGGGGGGTGGCACCAGGGTACAGTGCCCCCCATAGATTTTGGCATTTTCACATTAGCCCTACTGGCGTTGCATGGAAAGAATGGGACCAAAATGAAAATCTGCAGTGCCCTGCTGCCACTGCATCTGTCTGTACTGCTTGTTCATTGAATTAAAGTGGCTGTAGCTTGTTGATGAGATTGTCATCAGTGCTGTCATGAAAAAGTTACAATTGGTCACAAAAAGTAGCAATATGCATGTTCTTGGTTTATTTTAAATGTAGTACAAATGTTGTTTATTTAAATTCAAATTTAATGATGATACCTAATGATTACAAGTGGTCTTAACCAATAACCATGTCCACAAGTGATAATTCTCAATTGTACTGCACTGTAAGGTGTACAATTATGTAGGATAAGGGTTTCATTGGCTACATGTTGTCGTGAGATCCATACAGATCATAGGTCCTCCACAAATTTTTGCCCGCTGGATCCACAGAGATCATAGATCCGACCCCTAAATTTTGTCGAGAGATCCATTCGGATCATAGATCCAACCCCTGAATTTTGTCGAGAGATCCACCCGGATCATAGATCCAACCCCTCTATTTTGTCGAGAGATCCACTGAGATCATAGATCCAGCTCTCGGATCCAAGCACATGTCTGCTTAACAATATATCCCTTCGCTATCGATCTTGGAGACTATGTGCTTTTGGTGACCAGTCACGGCTCTACTATGGACGTCAAACCCCTTGAGACCCCACTTTTTTGCGATAATTTTTAAATGCGTCAATTCTCGTTGACAATATTCTGGCAATGTGTGTTTCAGAACCTGCCGAAACTTTTATTACTAAGGTATTTTGACGCCAAACGATTATGAAAGGTACTTCTCATTCACTCGTAATGTTAACCCACGAGCCGCTGGGGGGCATAAAGTTGCCCCCCCCCCCTTTACGTTTTGTGGAATATCTCCGAAACCTGATGAGCTACGAACGTGAAACTTGGCATAGCTTCAAATGAATACCTAGGCAATGTTTGAAGAAAGTTTGGTGGTTGTAGCATCAAAGATGACGTCACAGTGACGTCATTAAGTTTTGTCGTTTTCCGATATGGACCGTTTCTGATGACGCTGAGCATGAAACTCAACTGTAAATGAACTAGACAGCACCTGCTGTCATCCTAAAACATCTAAGTACACTTCCATCTAGTTCCTAACCCATAATCGGCCCTTTATATTCGGTCCCATATACCTGGGGCCGTATTCACGTCGACTTCGTAAGTCGATTTTCTTTCGTAAGTATAATTTGGTATTCACGTCGACACTTCTTAAGTTTTTACCGACGGAATTCACGTGATTAAAAAAAAAATTACTTATAGTAGGTCAAACTTAAGAAAATTCTTACGAAAATGATCGACGTGAATACAGCCCCAGATGTATCGTGAGGAAACTGAGAGTCGCAAATCTATAATTTGACTTATGACGTCACTGTGACGTCATTTCAAATGGGATCGACGCCAAATTTGGACACAACCTCGGCTAGGTATTCAGGAAGATGTGTGCAAAGTTTCGCTTCTCTATCTCTTCGCGTTGCGACGATATCGCCACGGAAGTAAAGGGGGGGGGGCAACTATATGCCCCCCCCCCCAGCGGCCGGCGGGTGGCGCGGAGGCCCAGCGGCCGCCGGGTTAAATTTCACGGAACGAATCTGCTGTTTGGGTAGAGGCTACGCCCTCGTGGGGCGGGGCCACGTAACGACGTCAGCGCTAAACTCCGCCCTACCCCTCCGGCGCTCCTTGCCCGTCGACCGGTCACTCGCGTCTCGCGCTCCATTCAGGCTTGATGGTGGGCGGTAGCTGGTAGCGGTAGCGGGCGCTGGTAGATGACATTAAGAGCAGATGGCGCTGGTGGCGGGGCTCGAGTGTGGCCGAGCGCAAGCCTCTGCCCGGGCCTGAATTGACCTTAGCATTACGAGTGAATGAGAAGTACCTTTCATAATCGTTTGGCGTCAAAATACCTTAGTAATAAAAGTTTCGGCAGGTTCTGAAACACACATTGCCAGAATATTGTCAACGAGAGTTGACTCATTTAAAAATTATCGCAAAAAAGTGGGGTCTCAAGGGGTTTGACGTCCATAGTAGTCAGCAGCGTTGTCAATTTTTGAAAATTATTGGGGGGGGGCGATACTGGCAGATCTCGCCAACCTACCTAGCCTTAATTTATTCTCGTATTTCGGCAGCTTTATTTTGAGGTACAGAAAAAAATATGAAAAATTAAATTACAAAAAAATGGACATCAGCTCAAATATACATTTGCTCAGGTCAACTACATAGATGCTCGCTGAGTAATATCTGCAATGTAATGTAATGTAACATCTGTATACCGTATTACCGTAATATGGAATACGGTATATACGGTATAGTTAATAGTTACGGTATATGGAATATACATATACCGTAATATGAATACAGATATGGAACACGGTCATTTAGATTAGCTCTAGTTGTAAACAGTAACACCCAGTGGCACATGCATTTTTTCCACTTAATGATTTATTTTCACGAATACAAACACTGACTCCGTTTCCATGGGCATCACTGATCCGGATCAGTGCCTCTTGAGGGCTTAGGCTTCCCATGGAAACACTCGTAATCCCTTACCGGTGATCCGGATTCTTATCTAGGTTCGAAAGAAGCTGAGCCGTTACGATAGGGATTAATGTTGGACTTTTTAATTTTTTTATTTTCATTTTAATTGCCCTCATTAATCTAGATGCATATATCTAACAGAGTCGGAGTCATCAAGAAACCCATGGACGATCTGCAGTAACCGCAGGTTGTTTGAAAAGACACACTATTCGTTAGAATTGTGTTTTTCTATTGAAAAACAACCGGAGCGGCATAGACCCGGGAACAGGGGGGGGGGCAGCGGGGGCGCTTGCCCCCCCCCCCAACTTGGGAGCCGAGGGGGCGGCGCCCCCTCAACATTGAGGCAGCGAGAAAAGATATTTCCTCCCTTTTCCGGACTTCTTTCCCTCTTGTTTCCTTTATACATCTAAACATCAACACACGGCATTTTCCTTGCCATCTGAATGGTTTCTGTTGATACAGTATCGATCTGACAACATCTGCTATTGTCATCCCGCTTTGATTTGGGCCTGACCTTGGCCATAAG